GTTCTGGCCCCGCCTCCAGTGGGCCTGGGACTTGAAGAACAAAATGCAGGGAAGCCGGGCTGAGACCTCTGCGTGTAGCCGAGAGCCTAGGAGGTGGTGCAGCCTCGGGAGGGGAGCAGAGCTCTGCGTGGTGCAGGGGAGGGGCAGCGCGTCCCAGGAGAAAGAGTTGGGGTATACGCTGCCTCGCTCTCACGGGGCCCACGCCTGACCTCAGCGTGCTGCAGAGGCCGGCACCGGCCGCGCCGCGTGAGAGCCCCACAGTCTCTCGGGTGCCCTGTGTAGGAGACACACGCGAAGGCAGTTGTTGAAATGTCAGAAGGAATGAGCTAGAAACAGAGTCTTGGCCCTACATAGAGTTTAGTATTTTGTTTTAAATTCGACTACATGTGAAGATACTAATAAGTACGGTTTGTGAACTATACTGTCTCCTACATTGGTTGTGTTGTGACTTCCCACAATCATCTAAGGCTTATTTCATAACCTTGACATTTATTCATGCAAAGGTTCCAGTTCAGATTAGGAGAAAATATGTATAATAAAACAATTTGACAAAATGTTCTCTTCTCTTTATATGGAATAGCAGAAAACAGCAATTCGTTGTTTATGATACAATACAGGGTGTGGCAAAAGTAGGTTTATAGCTGTTTATATGGAAAAACTAGTCTCTGGTATAAAAATTCAGTCCATGGCCTGAACTAAGAATAGTTTTGATATGTGTGCGGTGAAGGATTGACTTAGCAGATCTGGCTTGTTCCAGTCCTGCGCATTCCAAAGATAAGTCTGGCCCTTGACCAGCTCCTGAGAGATAACCTCTAAAAGCTTGGAATACGCTGCCTCCTGTGAGTGCCTTTGTTTACTCGGGCCTTGTGCAACACCAGATAGGTGTGTGTTATCGCGATTCACGACGGGCCTTGTGCAACACCAGATAGGTGTGTGTTATCGCGATTCACGACGGGCCTTGTGCAACACCAGATAGGTGTGCTAACGTGATCACGACGGGCCTTGCACCATGCGTATCAGCTGGTCTCTGGAGGGGCCAGCAGCTGAGTGAGGCTAGCCATGTGGGTGTTCCATGCCTCTGAGACCGGCCCTCCATGAAAACCCTGGACAGGAGGTCTCAGGTGAGTTTCCCAGGTGATGGCATTCCCTACCTGTTGCCCACGTCAGATCTGGAAGAAGTAAATGCCATCCACAAAACTTCTCATGGGGCAACTGGAAGTTTGTGTCTGGTCTCCTGGACTCTGCCCTGTGTATCTTCTACATTTGCAGATTTTAACTATTGATTTGGGGGTGGGTGATAAATTGTAACAGCATAACCATTTTTTTATGTTTGTGAGTCTCTGAATCAGAGGGTGGTCTTGGGGACCCCAACTCAACATGTTTAAAGTATTTTTAAAAGTGTGCAGTAGAGACCCATATGTCTCCTGTGCAGCCTAAATCATTTGGTGTCTGGCTCTTTACAGAAAACATTTACCAGCTAATGCAGAAATGTGGCAAATAAATCACCTATGTAATTTTATACGTTGAAACCATAACAGTTAAAATGGATGAGGATTGATATACGTAAATCTCAAACTGTTTTAAGTGAAAAAAGTAACAGAAGGATAATACATGATAATACTATCTATGTAACTTGTTATCTGTGTATAAATGTGAAACAAGAAAGGTCCACTCAGGAGAATGTCCACGCACTCAGGACAGTGGTGAGCTCTTGGGGAAAGTGGAACGGAAGGTAAGACGTGTCACATCATCCTTAAAAGATTGGGGGCAGGGGATCTGACCTTGTAAAATGAATGAAAAGGTGGTTTTATTTTACTCATATTTTTTATTTCCTTAAATGAGCTTAGCTTAGAAGTATAAAATGATTGCTCTAAAGAGCTCAGCTGCTTCAGACTCCTCCTGTTGTAAGTTAAGAAACCGGCCTTGGTAGGTGAAGTGCCCAAGGTCATGCTGACTCTGTGTTTATTTAGAGGCCAGTCCATAGGAAGTACGTTAGTGCGGGCAGCTTGTTATGCGGACTGCGGAGCTTGCAGGCTGCTGCTTGAAACAGACACAATGGCTGTGCTTATGACATGTCACGTTATCTTCCAGTTTTGTGAATCTGTACATCGAAGACCATTGCAGAGATTAGGTTGGTCAGGGAAAAGATAACCTTTCAGAATCCATACGCCCATCTGTTACAAATAGGGAAGCGGTGCCTTCTCAGAGATTAAAGGGTCGCGCACATCACTGCAGGTGCACAGTAGGAGCAACATACTGAATCTGTATCTTCTTTAAGAAAGTATTCGCTCCTGGCCAGTGTGGCTTAGTGGTTGAGCGTTGACCCATGCACCAAGGTGTCACAGGTTTGATTCCTGGTCGGGGCACATGCCCAGGTTGTGGGCCTGATCCCCAGCGGGGGGCGTGCAGGAGTCAGCCAATGTTCTCTTTCATCGATGTTTCTATCTCTCTCTCCCTTCCTCTATCTAAAATCAATAAATTTATATATATATATATAAAAGAAATTATTTGCTCTTTGTAGCAGTCATAGAAATCATACCAAGTTTAGTGTCCATGATACCTAGGAGGTTGTAAAGGTATTAAAGTACTATTAGGATCTGAAGTAATCAAATAAAAAGGGTTTTTAAAACGATTTGTGAACTGTTAATTAGGGTAAAAGTTGTACTACTAATATTAACCACACTGAATTCATATTTCTATATTATTTCTATATGAATTCATATAAAATTTTATGACACCTTTTCTACCTATAGTCCAGGAGTCACTGGGAGAGTCAAATAAGATAATAAACTTAAAAAAAAAAAAAAAGAGGCAGCTCTTTATAAATGTTAAAATACTATGTAAATTAGTTTTATTTGAAAGTATTACTATCACCCTCTTTGACAGTGATGACACTCACATGGGCTAAATATAATTGTGAAGGACATCCTGGCCGGTTTGGCTCAGCGGTTAGAGCGTCGGCCCTTGGACCAGTGAGTCACAGGTTTGATTCTGGTCAAGGGCACCTACCTCCGTTGCGGTTCATACCCGGCTCTGGTCTGGTCGTGCAGGAGGCAACTAGTCGATGTGGCTCTATAACATTGATGTTTCTCTCTGTCTCTCTCTCCCCCACTCTATCTAATGATAAATAGAAAAATATCCTTGGTGAGGAATAATATGTGTGTGTGTGTATAAAAAATTGTGATGGGAAGAAAACCACATATTCTCTGGTTTCCTGAGACCAAGGTGGTAGGTGGGGTTATGTCAGCTGAAAATAAAGTAACATTCATTTAGTTTTTTCTTTGTAATCCATATCAGGTCATATGAAAAGATGAGAGAAGAATGACATAGTTTCTGTCCACTTTTTTCAATTCAGCATTTATTGAGCACCTACTATGTGTTAGGCAGAGGGAAGCTAAGTACTTAATATATTAAATGTACTCACGTTTGCCTGAAAAGGTATTATTCTTGTTTCTCTATGAAAACGGAGGCTCAGATAAATTAAACAACAAAATCCAATAGATCAGAGCTAGCATTTGAACCTATTATTTCTGGCTTCAAAACATAAGCTTTACAAAATAACTGCAAATACAAGAAGTCTAGGATTTGAGTATTGAAAAGTCTGGCAGAGAGAAATAATAATATAGGAGATAAGTGAAAGAAGACACTGGTGTGGGCTGGACCGGTTAGGAGAGGCTTCTTGAAACAGGTCGAACTTGAAGGAGGCTCTGAAGGAGAGCTAGATTTGGTAGGGGGCGAACGGGTATTATTAGCAAGGGGAAGTGGTGACAATGGCTGCCCCCCCCCCCCCCCGGCAGTCACTGGGTCCCAGGACAGGTGGGGCAGTTCCCGAGAGAGCATGGAGAACTGAAGAAGAAACCTGGGAATGAGGGAAGAGTCTCCTCATTTCAGAACTCAAGAACAAGGTCAACCCCAAGGTCAGGATAAGGCCTACGATATCAAATCCATAGTTTTGTCAGCACACCATATCAGAGAACTATTTAAATGTTTTGTGAATGGAAACTGATTTTTTAAATCCTTTTTGAGGTAGGTGACCCTACGGTCGGTTCGGCTGACCTGGATTCTGCCTTGTCACTTTGCACAGTTTGGTTTGCCGATCACATGTATTTATGTATATATTGAGCCTTGGTCACTACATTTGTTTCTTTTGGGTTGTGAGTATAAAGTAACTGTTACAAAAATACTTCGAGAAAGGTCAAGATTGGTGCAAATGACCAGTGTTGTTCAAAGCAGCAGGGACACCATGACGACTGAGGACGGTGACAGGGAGTCTGCCCTGCGCTGATGCCGTTTCAGAGGCTCTCCCGGCTGCAGCGGTGGTTTCTTATTTCTGTGGGCGGTGGCTTTTAAAGAGAACTAACTCACGTCCTTGTAGCCAGACTTTCCTAATACAAGTGCTAAGGCACTGTGAATGTTGGCTTTTCATAACAAGATAAATAAAAGTATAGATGGTGACTTTCCCCACCTGTGCGTTCTCTGCTGGTTACCAGTCAGGAGAGCCACGGAGTCGGTGGGCCTGCGCCTGGGCATGCCCACGCTGCGTGCATCACTGTGCCGCGCGCGTGTCTGCAGCTTCTCACCTGCACTTCCCCAGCCGGTTCGTCAGAGTCCTTTCTTAGGAAAACCAGGACACACGTTTCTGTGATCTGAACTGTTAAGACACACTGTCCTGTGGGAAATGAGGCAACATAAGACAGTCTATCAATCTGAGGATGAGGCTCAGGCTCCCACACTTATCAGGAAAGTTATGCACACCCGTGGTTTTTAAATAGCATTTACAGTGGAACTTATTCTTTAAGAAGAAATATTTTACTAAAGCTCAAGATGTAAGGTACGCCTGAGCCTACTGCCAAGCCGCTCCCCAGGTTCTCTGGCAGCATGAAGGGGGGATATGAAGGCCACTAACCTCCTTTCTGTACCCTCCTCGTCTTTGGCCACTAGCCTCGAAGAGCTCCCCGTCTGGCCAAGCCTAACCGTGTTTAGTTCTCCAGGAAGTTCTGTTTCGCAGTCTTGTGCATTTGCTATCCATCTATTGGGAAAGCTGCCCCGTCCACCTGACCCTTTATTTCGGAGGCATTTAATCATCTCCATAGGATCTTTTCCGAGAAATCGTCCCTAAAACCCTTGTCTGGGCTTCCAGATTGTCCATTTTACTCTCTCGTAGAAGTTACTGCATTCTGATAATTAACTTATTTGTCCGACTCTCCCACACTGCATTGTGTTCTCTTTGAGGGCAGGGACACATTCTTCTTTAACATTCTTCCTCCAGTGTCAGGCTCATCGTTGATGATAAAAATAATGTTTGATGGCTGGATGGTCGCACAACAGAAGGATGGACAGAAAGAAGGAACTTACCAATGGACCAAGTAAATGAAGTGCCCCAATACTTTGAACCAAAAAGGAGAGTAGAAAGAACTGATGAGAATTCTCTCCCTGTGGCAGGCTGGTTTGGGATGTGCCTGTAGGTTGAGGGGAGCCTGTGCCATCTCCCGGAGTGCAGTCTTCACGACGTCAGCCGCAGGGGCCCGCCCGCCAGCATGACTCACAGGCCCCATGTCTGGCGCTGTGTGTTTATAGCCGGTGCTGGCGGTTTTCACTTGTAAATGGCGAAAGAAAAATGGTTGTGTGAAGACCAAAAAACAGACTAATGGAAATGGTTTTAATAATTAATTTTTAAAAGGCTTACAAATGACAGTTCAGCTGAGAAGCTATAGAAACATCGAAGCTGAAGTTCCAGCTAAAGGTTGCTGCTCTTTGGATTGTTCTTCTGGAGTTCAATGGGGGTAATTTAAAAACTGGAAGGAAGGCCAGTGATACTTTGGTTTGCTTGCATTTTTTCCCCTTTAAACAGCAAAAATGGGAAGATTTTTTTTCCTTCCATTTAAGACCTACAAGGTGGTGAGAGCCAATAAAACATGGAGTGGAATGAATTGGAAGCTGTGTGACTTAATACACATTTTATTGTGTAATACAGTTTTCAAAATCACTCTTAGATGGGATTTTAGCTTCTGTTTCCTTATACTGTAATTGGCATATTACTTCTCCCACGTAATTATCACACAGCAAAAAGTTCTATGGAGGTTTGCACTTGAATTTTTCTCTTCCATGTGTAATTTCATTAATGGGTTTCAGTGAACTCTAATTGTTAACAAAGTAATATTCATAAATGCAGCAATTCCTCTGTATGAAACAGAGAATGGAATTTGAATTTATTGAGCATTTACCATGCCCGAAACACTCTTAGGCACTTTTTCATGAGGTATCTCGGGAAATCTTGACCCTAAAAGGCTATTCCTATTATACAAAGACAAGCTGTGAGGCCAGGCGATTTTCCCTCAGGCGATAGCATGTGTCTTGGGTGGTGATTAGACCAGGTCCATCTGACTTAAGTCTATTTTCCGCTTTTTACCGTGTTCGTGTGACTGCAGTAAGAAACCTTGTTGTCAGAGGTAAATATAAGAGACAAAGAGAAATGCCCCCAAAAGTTAGTGTCCGACCCACCACCCCCTTCATTCTTTCTCCCTTGGAGAAGATGAACAAACCCTGGTCGGGGCTCCCCCTTTCCTGTTCTGTTCAGTGCCCAGATTGATGTTATAAAAAGAGGATTATTTACATTTGAATAGTAATTTAAGAGTTAACATCTCATTTCATCCTTATTTACAAAGGAGAGAGGAAAAAACGGAGTTGTGACTTAACCCTACGTCCCACAGCGAATTAGTAGCAGAGACAGTGTAACTGAATCCAGAATTCATCTCAGATACTCTCTGCTGTGTCCCCAAGTAAGAACATGTGTGATACTTTTCTAAGGAGGAAGAAGATTTTACTCTTTGTGGCTTCATCGGTTTTTTTCTCTTATCTTAAAAGTAGCGTGTCCTTCCAAGGCATGAAATTTATTCGGCCCTCATTCACAGGCGTCTCCGTATCCTGAGGTGATTATCTGGATGTGCAGATACGTTCTACAGATGGGTGCAGGGAATGCGTGCGAATGCTGAAACCGTCATCCCAAGCGGTCTGAGGGTGGCCTCAGCACAGCAGAGAGGGCTTAGAACGCCCCACTGGGAGAGAGCTTCCAGCCCGTTTTCTCCCTGTGGCTTCTGGTGTGACTGCTACAGAAGTCCACCAGCTGCCGAGACCCAGCTCCTCCAGAAGATGGCAGAGCAGAAGGGGAGAACTGCATCGGCTGCGTTATCTCATCTTCTCATTTTACTGTAAGAGAATTGAGCTGGGGGAGGAGAGTGGCCTTCAAATGATTTGTCCAAAGTGAGCAAGTAAAATGGCAGAACAGGAATTTCACTGAATTGGCAAGTTAATATTAGAGCAGTCTCCTTTAACCCCCAGGTTCCAAGTGTATAAAATGAGTATGATCATACAACACAACACTGAGCATATGAAGTCAGATGATACATATTGTAGACAGAGGAGCTTGAGTTCGTTAGAAGATAATTTGAAAATGCTAAAAACAGCATTTATGGTATATGAGATCAATAAGTGTCTGTTTATAGCAAAGAAGAGGGTATTAATAAAGATTACGAGGCATTGGTTTAAAGATCCTCAACATTGCTTGGCCGGTGTGACTCAGTGGTTGAGCATCGACCTGTGCACCGAGAGGTCACTGGTTTGATTCCCGGTCAGGGCATGCGCCCAGGTTGTGGGGTATGCAGGAGGCGGCCAGTCGATGTTCTCTCTCGTTGATGTTTCTATCTCTCTCCCTTTCCCTTCCTCTCTCAAATCAATAAAGAAAAAAAATATTTCTTAAAAAAAAAAAAAAGATCCTCAACATTGCCATTTTGATCAGAAGGTACTTTTTTAAAAAAAATTTTGTTGTTAATTCTCATCTGAGGATATTTTTTCCATTGTTTCCAGAGAGAGTGGGAGGGAGGAAGAAAAGGGGGAGAGGGAGTGAGCGAGAAACATCGATGTGAGAGAGAGAGATCAATTGGTTGCTTCCTGTATGTGCCCTGACTAGGGCTGGAGATCGAACCTGCAACCCAGGTACATGCCCTTGACCATGAATCGAACCCGCAACCCTTCAGTCTGCAGGCCGACGTGCCAGCCACTGAGCCACAACAGCCAGGCAATTGGAAGGTACTTTTTAACCGTATTGCTTTATTCAGGTTACAGCGTTTGCTATTTTATTGTGATAATAAAAATGGCAAAACAAGGCAAGCCTGAAGTTCTAGCATTTGCTTTCTTCCAGGTTGTTGACCCTTTCACTTGCTTTGTTGCCCTCAATATTGAATGTACACACTTCGATGTGTGGTTATTGCACCTTTCTGAGTATAGACATTAGTTCTTTCTTTATTCTAGCAAACAATTTTAACCATTATGTGTTCTGAAAGGAAATAATAGAGGGATTTTTCTCCTTCTGGTAATGGAACATCAATAACTTGGACCAATCTTTCCACAGAAGACAAGCAGAAAACCTTGACCAAAATAATTTTTTAATAAAAAAATAACTAATAAGCTAGGAATTGCCAGATGAGATCTGAGTAAAGGTGCAAATCTGGAATTATAAACCCAGCATTCACAACTGCTTTTGCCTTGGGAGTACTTGCCAACCTAAGGAGGAAGCTAAAATGATGTTTTAAGTTACAGTCTCGTTTAGAACACTTAATTATTTTAATAGTGTGCCCTAGGAAAACTCAGTTGTAAGATTTGTGGGTAATTGAGTAATAGTTAAAGGGGAAGAAGAAGGAAAGGAATCAGACATTTCAAAATTACAAACATGTTAGAATAAGGTTTTGAGTATGTTGTGGTTTTGTTGGGGGGGGGGGCAGACCACCTGACTGGTCTCTTAATTGCTCTTGGGAAGAACAGGTGAGCCGCTGGTCCAGGGCAGAGTTCTGGATGAGCAGGTCGGGGTTCGGTGGAGCAATGTGAACTCCTAGGTGGATCCATTGTGGTGGCTAAAGGCACAGCCCTGCACCCAGAGTGCCTGGGTTTGAACCCCAGCGCTGGTGTTTAATTACTGGGTGCGGTGCGACAAGTTCCTTTATCTTTGTGCTTCAGGTTCCTTCCTCTGCAGAAGAAAATATTAAAAAGGCTGTATCTGCTTCAGGATTGTTGCAAGATTACGTGGTTTACATATGAGACAAGATGAGTGGCGGCAAGTGCTAGAAAGTGGTCGCCCAGCAGCGGGACGCCCTCTCGCTCCGGGAGCCGTGTGTGCAGCGCACCTGTCCAGGTGTGAGTGAGGGAGCAGTGCCCGACGGGGCGTGCACTACCCGGGACGGGGTGTGTGTTGAAAATGGATGCTCTGTAGTGGGTACGTGGAGATTCCTTATACTATTTCCCCTACTTTGTGTACATTTGAAATGTTCCTAATTTAAAAGCTTTTTTTAAATGTTGACCTAGGAAATCCAATAGTTTCATATCTTACATACCCTCACTTCAGTTCTCCCTTGTACTTGACCATGTCATGATCTGGGAAGTCAAAAACTGATGTAATGATACAAAGTAACGTTCACCTCCTAGTCGCATTTTTAGAGAGCCTTTGGTTCATAACACATTTGAGCTAAGTCATAGTACAAGTGATTTTGCCCAACTCTCGGGTCTCAAGCTGTGGCTGAGGTTCTCCTCTCAAAGTCCTTTCTTTCCTTTTCCATGGGCCTAGAACACCCCAACCGAAAACTAAATGCCCCAGTCTCCCTTGCAGCCAGGTCTGGCCAGGAATCAATCGAATGTGGGCAGAAAGGGTGTGTCACCGTCCTGTGTCAGGACCTGGGCGGCCTGCAGCCCGCCGCCGCCAATGAGGCAGCGCCTCGGGAGCGTCAGAACAGCAGGACGGAAAGAACTGGGTCCCTGCATGACCTCTCGGAGCACAATTACGCCTCTAACTATGTCAGTCACACTACTCTTGGAGAGAGAAATGAATTTCCATTTTCTTGAACCTACCTTTTGGTAGAAAACCTTTCGGTGTTTCTTTGTTACAGCTGCCCAGCCCTTACTCTGACCAACACAAGGTGAAGTGTTTGAGTCCCGGGTAGGAGAAATTGCTTCTTTCTAAAGGAAGCAACACAGAACTTGAACCAGTGCTGTCTGACACCCATTCATTGTATTTCTTCCCTTGCTGAGCTGATAGCATAATCTGTTTCCGAGTAACCTCATTCAAGCTAGATCTTTCTGCGCCTTTCTCTGAGGCGAACGGCCCGAGTTGCCATCTCTTTGGCCAGAGACCCATCACTGCCTGAAGTGCAGTTCAGACTGTGAAGCTGGTGACCCCGCGCTTCGGTCTGAAGGGCTGCGCCCACCCCACAGAAATTAACATGTTGACATTTTAACTCCACTGTGACAATGTTAGGTGGTGAGACCTGTGTGAGATGATGAGGTCATGAATGGGGTTAGTACCTAAGAAAAGAGGCCTAGAGAGCTTGCCGGCCCCTTGCACCAGGCGGACACAGCAGGAGGCTGGCAGGCTGCAGCACTGAGGAGGGCCTTTCCCGGGCCCGGCCAACCACAGGGCACCTTGAGCTCGGGCTCCAGCCTCCAGACTGTGAGAAACACCTCTCTGTTGCTGATGAGCAGCCTGTGGTATTTGTCATAACAGCCTGAATGGACTGAGACATTCCCATTGCCTTGGCACATGCCTCTATTCTGGGCCTTACTCAGAGTTGCACGTTTAAAATTATAAATTTCTCACCTTGGCTGGGTAGTTCAGTTAATTAGAGCATCATCCCAATACACCAAGGCTGTGGGTTTGATCCCTGGTCAGGGAACATTACAAGAATCACCCAATGAATGCATAAATAGGTGGAACAACAAATCCATGTTTCATTTCTTTCCCTTCTCTCTCTCTAAAATCAATAAACAAAAAATTTTAAACACAGTTTCTCATGCTGGACTATTAGCTTCTGAAGGTCGGAGATGTCCCTGATTCACTTATTTCTCCTGTGTCTTGTACATACCAGGGACTTTGTTGACTAAGTGAATGACTGAATGATTGAGAAAACAGCTATTTGAAAATAAGAAGAAAATGTGGCTAAATGTTAAGTCACTCTCCAAGGGAAATTTAAATAGTACTTGGTAGACAAACACCAAGGTTAGTGGCTCAGGCAGAGACAGGGCCAAGACCTCCAGTGTGCAGGTAGCATTATTCATTAAGAGACGAGCAACTGAGCAACCGCTGGAGACCTCAGCCGCGTGTTAACGATGAGTTCACGTCGCCTCCGACGCTAACCTGAGAGTGAAGCTCATTTATTTTTTAATGCGTGCTGGAAGCGACGACCGCTGTTGAGACACAGCTCACATGTGAGCGGTTCGTGCAGCTCCGTAGGTACACGATGCTTCTAGAAACTGCTGTACCAAGGGGCTGGCAGCCAGTGGACTTCTTAGAAAAACAAAACCCGCCCTGGCCAGTTTGGCTCAGTGATTAGAGCATCAGCCTGCAGACTGAAGGGTCACAGGTTCCATTGCGGTCAAGGGCACATACCTGGGTTGCAGGTTCGGTCCCTGGCCCCCGTCAGGGACCTACCGGAGGCAACCGATTGATGTCTCTCTCTCACATCGATATCTGTCTCTCCCCCTCTCTGACTCTCTTCCCCCTCCCACCCTCCCTTCCTCGCTCTAAAAAGCAATGGAAAAATATCCTTGGATGACAATGAAAATAAAAAATTTAAAAACAAAAACCATAACTGTATTGATGGTAAAGTAAACATAATTTTATGGTCTAAATGGAATGTCTCACTTCTAATTTTCATCAAAGTACAGGTCTGAGACAGACCTGGGTCTGAATTCAACTTTTTCTACTTTAAAGTTATATGATTTGGGGCAAATTACATAACCTGAGTCTAGTAGAGTGTGGTGACTGACCTCCAGGGCCTAGAGAATAGATAGTAAAGCGCAGTGAAATAATTAGGAAGTGGTGAGTTTAGAAGTGCGTATTTTTTTTTAATGTACATACTTATACACGATATCTATGATGTACTAACATACAATTCGATTTTCAGTGATGGCTAGATGCAGAGACCAGCTCAGCAGATTCCTGGAAGGGTGCAGTCGCCCCTCCGGAGCTGTGCAGGCCAGCTTAGCACAGCTGCTCGGCCCAGCTCCTGGGTTACATGACAACACAGATGAAGACTGGCCTGTGACCGCTGTACGGCCAGATTGTTGTCCAGCATGGCCGGACCAAGCCGCCTTCCCACCAGCATGCCCGGGGGCCGCACGTCCCTCGGAAAGGGGCGTCGCCCAGGGGAGGGAAATGCGCGGACACTGCACTGCTGGGCAGGGCTCGGAGCAGTAGCCGCACCTGCCCTGAACGTGAGCTGATCTTGTGGGCACAGCACTTAGTGATTGCAAGCAGGAGCAGGTGGGGTCTGGAGCACGCTGTGCTCATTGAAATGCATACGAGACAATAGTCTTGTTTCCCCCACAAACACAAGAATCAGAAGATGCACATCAGATGTATCTGAGTGGCTGCCCACGGAGGGTAGAGGTTTGCTACGTCAGCACTGTTTACGGAGCATTCCATGGGATGGTATGTCCATAAGCCGCTAACGCCATACTGGCCACTTGGCCTTTTCCCTCGCCTGCGGCCAGCAGAAGCTACACTGACTTAATGAGCCACGTTCAAGGTTGTATTCCTACTGTCTCTCGTGAATCTGTGCGATACTGCATGTTTAAATAATTTCCAGAAAATAAAAACACCTGGGCCCTGCGTGTACTGTAGCCTGTAGTTACGCATCACCTTCCGTGCCGGAGCGACTACAGTGACCCTCAGACCGCCACGGCAGTCTGTCGGTGTTGGCCGTGCTTGCCACAGTCACGACTCCCTTACGTGTTGTCCCACTTCATCTTCACAAAGGAGATTTGAAGCTTAGAGAAGCCAAATGTTTTGCCCAAGATGAGAGAACTGGCGAGGATGAGGGCAGCAGCTGCCCGTAAATACATGAGTTCCCCGGCACTCCACCAGGGAACGGGAAGGTCCGTGCGGACTTCGAGGCCGTGAGACCAGGGCGCTGTGCGTGCACACCTCGAGGACGCTCTGGTTCTCTGTGCTGAGCCAGAGGCGAGCACCAGCGCAGGGACTAACTCCCAGGTGGGAGTTAAAGCTGGCAGGGACCTTGGAGAGGCCGGGACAGCGAGCAGCCCTTGTGTTCATGTACACGGCGAGAGGAACACGGCTCAGAAGACGCAAGTTTCCTCGTTCGCCCCAGGTCACATGGAGATTTCCACACAGCCAAAACAGGAAGCCCAGTTTCTAACCCTCAGGCCAGGAGTGGCTCATAGCATCAGGTAGATGAGAAACCCTGGAAGCCAGCAGGGCCTTTCGGTAGCTTTAAAGCTCGGGCAAGCTGCTGGACGTCCTCGGGCTGCTGTTTCCTCGGGCAGGAGGGGTATGCTTCATCGTGGCTCGTACGACCCATATGGCTGATGCAAAGATTGGTTCACGCTTTTATTCACTTATTCAATAAATGTCTCTAGAGGCAACTTCTGTATCTCAGGCACGTTGTGGGCACAGGGACGCAGTGAGCGTTCCACAACCCCCGCACTTGGGGGGCCTACATTCTAGTAGACTTCCATTCAAGTAGCTAGAAACGGGGCTTGGCAGAAGGAGGTGTGCAGCTGCAATACAGATAAATCATACAAGTGTTAATGAGTAGTAATACAAGAATGAACTGTTTCGTGTACTGTAAGCCTTTTGCCCACCCCTGCCCATATGACAATAATGTCATCAGTGAGCTCTGTAAAAATAAGGTAGAGGTAGAATATTGCGACTGATGGAAAGAATGCGTTTTCATGAGTGAGGTCAAATACAAGGTTTCAGCAGAGACCGCTCACCCTGCCCTCTCGAGCCTAGTAGCTTCCAGGGTCCTGTGGGAGCTATGGAGCTGTGGAGGCCTTCACCGTCCACTAACCTGTCCACACTAAGCGAGGAGGCCTTCACCATCCACTCACCTGTCCACTCACCTGTCCACACTAAGCGAGGAGGCCTTCACCATCCACTCACCTGTCCACACTAAGCGAGGAGGCCTTCACCATCCACTCACCTGTCCACACTAAGCGAGGAGGCCTTCACCATCCACTCACCTGTCCACACTAAGCGAGGAGGCCTTCACCATCCACTCACCTGTCCACTCACCTGTCCACACTAAGCGAGGAGGCCTTCACCTGTCCACTCACCTGTCCAAGCTAAGCGAGGAGGCCTTCACCATCCACTCACCTGTCCACACTAAGCGAGGAGGCCTTCACCATCCACTCACCTGTCCACTCACCTGTCCACACTAGGCGAGGAGGCCTTCACCATCCACTCACCTGTCCACACTAAGCGAGGAGGCCTTCACCATCCACTCACCTGTCCACACTAAGCGAGGAGGCCTTCACCATCCACTCACCTGTCCACACTAAGCGAGGAGGCCTTCACCGTCCACTCACCTGTCCACACTAAGCGAGGAGGCCTTCACCATCACTCACCTGTCCACTCACCTGTCCACACTAAGCGAGGAGGCCTTCACCTGTCCACTCACCTGTCCAAGCTAAGCGAGGAGGCCTTCACCATCCACTCACCTGTCCACACTAAGCGAGGAGGCCTTCACCATCCACTCTCCTGTCCACTCACCTGTCCACACTAGGCGAGGAGGCCTTCACCATCCACTCACCTGTCCACACTAAGCGAGGAGGCCTTCACCATCCACTCACCTGTCCACACTAAGCGAGGAGGCCTTCACCATCCACTCACCTGTCCACACTAAGCGAGGAGGCCTTCACCGTCCACTCACCTGTCCACACTAAGCGAGGAGGCCTTCACCATCACTCACCTGTCCACTCACCTGTCCACACTAAGCGAGGAGGCCTTCACCTGTCCACTCACCTGTCCACACTAAGCGAGGAGGCCTTCACCATCCACTCACCTGTCCACACTAAGCGAGGAGGCCTTCACCGTCCACTCACCTGTCCACACTAAGCGAGGAAGCCTTCACCGTCCACTCTCCTGTCCACACTAAGCGAGGAGGCCTTCACCATCCACTCACCTGTCCACACTAAGCGAGGACGCCTTCACCATCCACTCACCTGTCCACTCACCTGTCCACACTAAGCGAGGAGGCCTTCACCGTCCACTCACCTGTCCACACTAAGCGAGGAGGCCTTCACCATCCACTCTCCTGTCCACACTAAGCGAGGAGGCCTTCACCATCCACTCACCTGTCCACACTAAGCGAGGAGGCCTTCACCGTCCACTCACCTGTCCACACTAAGCGAGGAGGCCTTCACCATCCACTCACCTGTCCACACTAAGCGAGGAGGCCTTCACCATCCACTCACCTGTCCACACTAAGCGAGGAGGCCTTCAGCGTCCACTCACCTGTCCACACTAAGCGAGGAGGCCTTCACCTTCCACTCACCTGTCCACACTAAGCGAGGAGGCCTTCACCATCCACTCACCTGTCCACACTAAGCGAGGAGGCCTTCACCATCCACTCACCTGTCCACACTAAGCGAGGAGGCCTTCACCGTCCACTCACCTGTCCACACTAAGCGAGGAGGCCTTCACCTGTCCACTCACCTGTCCACACTAAGCGAGGAGGCCTTCACCGTCCACTCACCTGTCCACACTAAGCGAGGAGGCCTTCACCTGTCCACTCACCTGTCCACACTAAGCGAGGAGGCCTTCACCTGTCCACTCACCTGTCCACACTAAGCGAGGAGGCCTTCACCTGTCCACTCACCTGTCCACACTAAGCGAGGAGGCCTTCACCATCCACTCACCTGTCCACACTAAGCGAGGAGGCCTTCACCATCCACTCACCTGTCCACACTAAGCGAGGAGGCCTTCACCTTCCACTCACCTGTCCACACTAAGCGAGGAGGCCTTCACCATCCACTCACCTGTCCACACTAAGCGAGGAGGCCTTCACCATCCACTCACCTGTCCACACTAAGCGAGGAGGCCTTCACCGTCCACTCACCTGTCCACACTAAGCGAGGAGGCCTTCACCATCCACTCTCCTGTCCACTCACCTGTCCACACTAGGCGAGGAGGCCTTCACCATCCACTCACCTGTCCACACTAAGCGAGGAGGCCTTCACCATCCACTCACCTGTCCACACTAAGCGAGGAGGCCTTCACCATCCACTCACCTGTCCACACTAAGCGAGGAGGCCTTCACCGTCCACTCACCTGTCCACACTAAGCGAGGAGGCCTTCACCATCACTCACCTGTCCACTCACCTGTCCACACTAAGCGAGGAGGCCTTCACCTGTCCACTCACCTGTCCAAGCTAAGCGAGGAGGCCTTCACCATCCACTCACCTGTCCACACTAAGCGAGGAGGCCTTCACCATCCACTCTCCTGTCCACTCACCTGTCCACACTAGGCGAGGAGGCCTTCACCATCCACTCACCTGTCCACACTAAGCGAGGAGGCCTTCACCATCCACTCACCTGTCCACACTAAGCGAGGAGGCCTTCACCATCCACTCACCTGTCCACACTAAGCGAGGAGGCCTTCACCGTCCACTCACCTGTCCACACTAAGCGAGGAGGCCTTCACCCTCACTCACCTGTCCACTCACCTGTCCACACTAAGCGAGGAGGCCTTCACCTGTCCACTCACCTGTCCACACTAAGCGAGGAGGCCTTCACCATCCACTCACCTGTCCACACTAAGCGAGGAGGCCTTCACCGTCCACTCACCTGTCCACACTAAGCGAGGAAGCCTTTACCGTCCACTCTCCTGTCCACACTAAGCGAGGAGGCCTTCACCATCCACTCACCTGTCCACACTAAGCGAGGAGGCCTTCACCATCCACTCACCTGTCCACTCACCTGTCCACACTAAGCGAGGAGGCCTTCACCGTCCACTCACCTGTCCACACTAAGCGAGGAGGCCTTCACCATCCACTCTCCTGTCCACACTAAGCGAGGAGGCCTTCACCATCCACTCACCTGTCCACACTAAGCGAGGAGGCCTTCACCGTCCACTCACCTGTCCACACTAAGCGAGGAGGCCTTCACCTGTCCACTCACCTGTCCACACTAAGCGAGGAGGCCTTCACCGTCCACTCACCTGTCCACACTAAGCGAGGAGGCCTTCACCTGTCCACTCACCTGTCCACACTAAGCGAGGAGGCCTTCACCTGTCCACTCACCTGTCCACACTAAGCGAGGAGGCCTTCACCTGTCCACTCACCTGTCCACACTAAGCGAGGTGGCCTCACCTGTCCACTCACCTGTCCACACTAAGCGAGGAGGCCTTCACCGTCCACTCACCTGTCCACTCACCTGTCCACGCTAAGCGAGGAGGCCTTCACCGTCCACTCACCTGTCCACACTAAGCGAGGAAGCCTTCACCGTCCACTCTCCTGTCCACACTAAGCGAGGAGGCCTTCACCATCCACTCACCTGTCCACACTAAGCGAGGACGCCTTCACCATCCACTCACCTGTCCACTCACCTGTCCACACTAAGCGAGGAGGCCTTCACCGTCCACTCACCTGTCCACACTAAGCGAGGAGGCCTTCACCATCCACTCTCCTGTCCACACTAAGCGAGGAGGCCTTCACCATCCACTCACCTGTCCACACTAAGCGAGGAGGCCTTCACCGTCCACTCACCTGTCCACACTAAGCGAGGAGGCCTTCACCATCCACTCACCTGTCCACACTAAGCGAGGAGGCCTTCACCATCCACTCACCTGTCCACACTAAGCGAGGAGGCCTTCAGCGTCCACTCACCTGTCCACACTAAGCGAGGAGGCCTTCACCTTCCACTCACCTGTCCACACTAAGCGAGGAGGCCTTCACCATCCACTCACCTGTCCACACTAAGCGAGGAGGCCTTCACCATCCACTCACCTGTCCACACTAAGCGAGGAGGCCTTCACCGTCCACTCACCTGTCCACACTAAGCGAGGAGGCCTTCACCTGTCCACTCACCTGTCCACACTAAGCGAGGAGGCCTTCACCGTCCACTCACCTGTCCACACTAAGCGAGGAGGCCTTCACCTGTCCACTCACCTGTCCACACTAAGCGAGGAGGCCTTCACCTGTCCACTCACCTGTCCACACTAAGCGAGGAGGCCTTCACCTGTCCACTCACCTGTCCACACTAAGCGAGGTGGCCTTCACCTGTCCACTCACCTGTCCACACTAAGCGAGGAGGCCTTCACCGTCCACTCACCTGTCCACTCACCTGTCCACGCTAAGCGAGGAGGCCTTCACCGTCCACTCACCTGTCCACACTAAGCGAGGAGGCCTTCACCGTCCACTCACCTGTCCACACTAAGCGAGGAGGCCTTCACCTGTCCACTCACCTGTCCACACTAAGCGAGGAGGCCTTCACCTGTCCACTCACCTGTCCACACTAAGCGAGGAGGCCTTCACCGTCCACTCACCTGTCCACACTAAGCGAGGAGGCCTTCACCGTCCACTCACCTGTCCACACTAA